CGGATTGTGATATTTCGATGTTGAAGCAATATTTTTATAAAGTAGATTACCAATTAGTTTTCCAAAGAGACGTTTTCTGTCGTTTTTTGTTTAATATTTCATTTTTGTCTATTATGTTCAAATATTTTTGCCATTACAAGTATACTCTTTGTTTTCATCAGTAAACTACATCATGTACTAAAGGCGGGTTCATACGATCCAAGAATGCTTGGATTCCAACTTGGACCAAGTGGACTTGTACAAGTGTACTTGTACCAATTAGGGTGCCACGGGCAAATGACTTGGATACCAAATAACCATTGTAAAGGTAGCAGAAGTGATAGTGGTAGGTGTTCTAGGGGTTGCTAATATGTTTGTTCATACATGAATTAAAATTAAGAAAAAAGGAATAAAAAGAAAAAATGCCGCACTTCTAGCATTCTTATTTTTATATTCCTTTATCACTCTCCCTTTCAGGCCATTTTTTTGCGTTTTCTTCTTGTTTTTGAGTTTTCGACACCGACGCCACTTTAATTTTGCAATACCATACTACTTGGATCCAAGGAAGTTGGCCAGCGTCCTATTTAACTTGGACAGAACCTGTTGATACAAGTATACTTGGATGAAAAGGTGCTAATGAAAAGCTAATATATTCTACTTTTTGTGCATTTTTATCTGGAAATTTAGATGGGCTGGTGATTATTCTAGGAAATGAAGAAGCGTATCTCAAAGTCACAAAATCCACAAATATGAAAATTCTACAATAATGACAAAGTTAGTAAAAATACATATTAGTTGAAAATACATACTCCGATTAGGCCACACGCTATGTCAGATTCCGATTAGGCCATACGCTATGTCATATTCCGATAAGGCCATACTAACTATATTCGAAGATACTCCAGCTCATAACATTTTTCAAGTCAATATTACTATTTTTTTTTCTACTTGGGACGTCTTATGCCAAATATATCCGTTATCACTGAAGATGAAGCTTATTGTATTTGCTGCCCATTGTTTCCTACACCCAGTCTAGAATTTTTGTATCCTGAAGAAGTGTGTATAGGTCTTTTGCTTGGTGTGTCCGAAATATACCAGGTTCTACTTTTGACCGCCCATATATTTTTTGTCTTTTGTGGTCCAGCGCCTCGCAATTGCATAATAAATGTCTTATAGTTTCTTGTTCTTTATCACAAAGTCTGTAGTTAAGGTCTCCGTTATAAATGCCTATTTTATTTAGGAATTCTTGTACTGGTGCATGCCCTGTCAACTTTCTTGTTACTGTTCTCAGTTTATTCCTGACCATATGGAGTAATCAGTCTGTTTTTTTGCATATGGTCCACCAATGGAGATTTTTCGATGTGTTTGTTTGGAATTATCTCCTAATATCGCTATGACTCTCTGATCTAGTTTTCTTTAGACCTACATACTGCAGCCCTTGGTACTCCTAGAGTTACAACCGGTCTGCTTGATGCGTTGGATCTTCATTTTGCAAGTTGATCTGCTTTTTCGTTGCCTTCGATGCCCTGGTATCCAGACAAGCTCAACCTTGTTCCGGTCTTCCAGTTAATAACTGATTATTTGATGCAGTTTCACACCAGCGTGAACGTCACTCCCTGACACGCCAGTGCCTGCAGTATCGCTTGACCGTCAGACAATATATGTATATGCTTCTTTTCTAGTAGGCCTATCTCATTATTTCTATTTGCACTATCGCATTAATCTCTGCTTGAAAAATCGTTCTTAAGGCAAAGCTTTGTCTAATTTTTGGATTATTTGAGTATATTCCTGCCTCCACTCGTTCTATAGCCTTGGATCCGTCTATATCCTAGATCTTACCATGTTGGTTGTGGTACTCCTTGTTTCTCCAGACATGCCAGGTGGAAGTGAAACTCTGCATGAATTCTTAAAATTATATCATTTTGTCATGTGATTTAAAAAATGTGTTTCTCATTAAAAATATCCTTTATTATAGTCCTTGTGATACTCATATTCCCTGTCTATTAATTGCAAAGTATCAGTGTTAGTTTTATTCCGACGGCTTTTAATATTGCTTCTTTCTTATATTATCAAATACAAGGTAGGCATGCTTACTCATTAGAGCCTCCATAGCAGCTGTTTGCATAGCACCAGCTATTCCCATACTCGCAAGTGCAACTTGCACCTTAATGAGTTTGGCTTTTGCAACTATTTGAAGTTTCTTAGTCCACCACATTGTTGCTGCATAGGTAATTGAGGGTTTGATCACCATAGTGTATATCCAGTGCACCATCTCTGGTTTTAATCTCAATTTTTTCTCATACACACGCTTGACCCTCATAAATATTGCAACTGCTCTGCTTGTTATTTTTATAATTGCGAGTTCCAGGTAAGTTTGGAGCAAATTTTGGTATGAAAAACAAGCAACTCCTTAAAAGCGAAATTTTGTCTGTGCATCTCCAGATGTAAACTTTGACAGTACCATAGTAAATGTGTTTAAACTTAAATAATTAAAGTACAATATGGCAGAGCTCTTTGATATCAGTTTTATTATTGATACACATTGGTTGTTTTTAAATATTGACTCATTTTTCCAACCCTTAAAATTGTTGTTAGTTCTGTACTAAGACGTGACTACACTATATCGTAGATTGTTTTTATTATGTCTTAGTACGCCATACATAAGTTCCCATGTTATTAGGTTTGTCTGGGTATGAGTATGTTTAAAATCTGTAATTTTTCAGGAAAATAACTACGTATTAGTGACCCAGCTGCGCAGTCTTTACCCCAAGTACCTAATAAAAAATTTTAAATGAACGTTTTTAAATCGCCTGGAAAAAATGTATAGAATATCCAAATGCTCAGATTTCACTTTATTGTTAGTTTTGTTATTGCGATAGCTGCTGACTACTTACACGTCACTATGTCACTAATCTTCCTTCTTGATAGTCTTTTTGCCGACAAGGTAAGAAAGGGATTCGACCTGGTATTCACTGCCCTTTCTTTGTTTAGAGAAGGTAATACCGTAAGGTTGAATGAACGTCTTTGACCTGAAATTTTTATTATTGCGTATGAAAAGATATTTTATAATGATATAACTTTTTGTATTGTTTTATAGACGATCTAACTTGTTTTTAATTATATAGTTACGGATTTTAATTTTAATAGTTTTGCTTACATAATTCTTTTATATATTTTTTGACCATTTTAGTCCTTTATAAATCTTGGATTAAGATTTATTGGTGACTCATCTTTTGCAGTTTAGCTGTATTCAGTATTTCTTGGCTTTTGTAGGTAAAGCTTGTAGCTATTTATTATATATTGGTTATCTAGCCATTATTCTTCTATTAATCATATCCCTATCCACCCCAATGACGCCCCGATTCTGAGCAACGAGACCTTTGTAATATGTCTGTATACTTACCACCTAATCTTTTTCTCTTTGATCACCTGAGCTGATTTTCGTTACAATATGAATTATCTTCAGTGTACATATTTTATTATAATCTGAGTATCTTTCTAAAATCTGTATACTTTCAAAATTGGGTTTATGTTATAGGTAAAATATTTATTCGGGCTGGAAAATACTTTCTATATACTTAAGCCATAAAAGTGACTAATGTTTATCGTTAGATCAGCAAACTTAAACCAAAAACCTTCAAGCGATTGAATGGTATACTTAGACTGGATAGTGATTATTACCTGTTTAAGATTTGAAAGAATCATCTCATCACGTCAACGTGACGGATCCGATGGTGGGGTCAAAATTACATTCTCTGAAGTGGTTACTTATGAGACAATAGACTTTAAGAAAAGATTTAAAATTCAATTGTAACATCTGATGCACCCCAATATAAATAATAACTATAAGGAAAACTAGGTTTTCCTATACAGGTTTTTATGTAAAACTAAAATTGTTAGGAAAAAATACTACTTTCATATTTCAAAAAGATATTTTAAAAACGCTACAGTACCTACTGTAATATACAGTATTGTGTGAATTAATAAAATTATTGTGACAGTAAATCCGTTAACTAATTTTTCGAAATTTTTCTAATTTTTGACGCTATTTGCGCCCATACGAAACCATGTTAGAGTTGCTTCTACTAAGTCAGGAAAGATTTATTTTCACGTTCAGAGCGACTGTGAATAGCCGTTCTGAAGAACCCTGTTAGGGCGAAATGCGTATAAGAGGATACACAGACGCACTAAACGTGAAATCAAATCTTAACTGTATTTTCCTTTTATTCTGACATTATTCAATATTCACAGTTGGCAACACTGTCCACACGTTTACAATTGACCAAGCATTGAAAAAATAATCTTTTCCGCAAATCGCCAGGAAATTTTGACATTCCTGTCAAAATTTCTTGAAGAAAAAGTCAGTTCCTTACTGTAAGGAAATGTCATTTCCTTACTGTAAGGAAATGTCATTTCCTTACTGTAAGGAAATGATATTTCCGTACAGTTGTTAGTGTTCTACATAAAGTTTGACAATTCAACCTCAATACGTTTCCATAGTAACCCAAGTAATTTTATTAGGAATTTCAAAGCACCATTTATTTGGGAATAAAATTATTGCGTTTTTTTTTTAAATCAATCAATATCTGTCGAATTTTAAACGATTTGCGGAAAAATAGCATGTTTACCTCGTAGGAAAAGCCACATTCCTGGACTCTGTGTTGCTAAGTCTCGGCTTGCGCCTCGACTTAGCAATCTTCACAGTCGTCCAGGAATGTTAAGCTTTTCCTATCCGGTAAACAATAAACTATACTTTTCACTGCCTTTCAGTTGAGGGTGTTTTAGGACTGTACTACAAAAATAAAAAAATGTTAGGTGGGAACTGTCAGAAGCTTGTAGCTAAAACGCGTAAAGGCAGTAATTTCAGCCAAATGAGGACATATTTCCTACTAAATGATGTAATTTTACCTTAATAGTTTTGTCAAAATAACATTTTTTTCATTAAAACAGCCTATGATTTCATTAATTCTCACAGTACTGTATAAATGTTAAAGCTTTTAGTTTAAAAAAATCATATTTACCTTCAGGTCTTTGTGTAGCTCACTACCCCAAGTATTCTGCACACAATGTCTTGGCCATAGTCTTTGGGTCATTGGAGGATCACCCTCGAATATTACCGTATCATACATTTGCACTTTCTCGGGATCGGTAATAGGACTACTTTCGTGTAACTTTCTTAAATTTATATTGTCGATGAAAGACACATGATCACTAGGATGCCAGTCGTACGAATAAAATATGGCATCAAATTCTATGGTATCCAGAAGACTATTGATTGGTGGAATAATTTCTTCGGGATTCTGCTTAGCTGGACAGTTTCGGATATCTAAAGTGCCACAGATGAAATCATTTTGGACGTCAATTACTAGGATTGCTGAGATGGGTCGCACAATCTAAAAAAAACATATTTTTTTAAAATCGTTGATAAAAGTTTTACTAAATGAAATTTCTATTTGAGACTTAAACCAGATTAATATTTCGTATTACCAACTCATGGTTCAGGAACCAAAAAGGCCCTATTTAGTATAAATGTACTTACACAATTATCTGTTATTTATTTTAATTTGTCTCACTACTTTTGAATCCTAGCCGCACTCTTTCAGCAAATTTTGTTTAATCGAATGATCTCATGGCACACTCAGCAAAAACGATGTTTAGTCGTAAGCCAATAAGATTTGTGGTATAGATTCCTCTTAGCTAAATTAATAATAAGGAAAAAAATTGAATTATTAAGTGAATTTCCTTAACAATAGGTATGCTAACCTTATTATATTTTTTATTAGCTAAGATGACATATTTTTAAAAAGTTTATTTTTAAGAAGATTATTTTCTGATTAGAGGGCGCCTATTCTCAAACTTTGGACAATGCATTTCAGAGCGAGAAGTTGTCTGCTAGGAAAGAATGTACAAAATATTTTATTTTTATATTGTAATTATGACCTCTGAGTACATGTCAAGTGTTCTTTTAAAGAATATTTGGTTCGCTATGAATATTTATGGTATTGTTCGTAAGTCCAATTTTCGAAATTTTTGGTATATATTTTTTGTCATCTCATAGAGTCTCTTAGCATATACCCGCAGTGCACTACTATATTCCCCAAAACGACACTCAGTCCTCACTGCAAGACGCAAGTGTCTCGCAGACTTAGTCTTGTTCTTGCTCAAATCTTGCATGGTCAATCTTGGTCCTGCTTAAAATTAGGCTGTCTTCGCAAGCACAGGACCAAAACTACAGGACCAAGACCCGATTTTGGGCAACACCAAATGTTGGGGACAAATGCAACCTTTTCTGACTTCTCGTTCTGTGGAGATTTCGTCGGTGTAATTGTCTTCAATTTTTACGATTAGAAACAACACGGATACACTATTTCTATATTTTTTAGCATCTGCATTAATTTTATATGCTGTACTTTATAGAATGCCTTTTCGAAGGCAAGGAAGCATGCAAATACATCTTTTCTTTGATCACATCATTTTTGTAATAAGACATTTAGCGCAAAAAGTGCCTCACTAGCTCCCATAGCATTTCTAAAACCAAATTGGGTATCTTCTAGGTCTTCTTCGCATTAGAATCTAATTCTGTTGTCAAGTATTTTTAGAAGAATCTTAAGAGTGTCGCTCATTTGGATAATTAATCGATATTCTGAGAATTTTCTAGCATTCTGTAGCACCAACTTTAGTTGGTGTATCATCTGGAAGACATGCTTACCTAATTTGAGCATTTTATAAAACTTGTTCTTCCTCTGATTTCATAATTTCTGGGCCGTTAGTACAATTTTAGTAAGATTAGGTAATATTATTTCAATCATCTTCAAACAACTATGTTATAGACAGTTGCCATTCTCTTTTTATTTCGTTCTCATTTACAATAATTTTGTTGTTATTGCCAAGTAGTACAGAGGGAACTCTTTTTTTAAATATGTTGCTTATTTCTCACGTGTCACTTTTGTGTGCACAGTAAAAAAGTCGTGCCTAGATATCACATCGTTAATTTTCTCGCACCTTCTCTGATTCATTTTTCCGTTTCCGGGAAAACTACCATTTCCGAAGTTGACTGACAATATTAGAATTCTTGGGTGGTCATAACGGGTTATTGTTCGGTAAATTTTTTAAAAGGATTAGGTATATCGAATGAACAGACTACAACAGCATTTAGCGGTGTTAAAATGGATTGGTTTAAATATTTACAAACAAAAATCATAACGGTAAGTTAGTCAAAATAGATAGGTGAGTGGTATAACGGAAGTTTTATTAGAATGGTCAAAAATTATTTCTTTTGTAATTTTAATTATATACTGAGTATTTTTATAAAATTTATTAAAACAAACTAAAACATACACAATTAGACAAAAATTAACAATTAGTTTTTGGACACGTTACATTATACCATAATATATAATATTGATATAGAATACAAATTGAAATATTAGGACAAAAATTTCAAATTATCTATTTTCCGTTCTTGAATATTGAGTACGATTCTTTGGTGGTTTGTTTTGGTAGCCTATTGACTTATAATTTTTCAGTGGAGTATATACATATATATATATATATATATATATATATATATATATATATATATATATATATATATATATAGTAAACTCTTAAATATTGGGGAAATCTGCAAAAAAAACTCTAATGTGTATCAATTATTTCACCTAACGTTTTCGCCAAAGAGAATTTGGCTTCTTCAGGGCTGAAAGAGAATAAATTATAATTAGCTACCATATATTATCTAATAAAAAACATTTACCTTACCGTGAAATTTTAGAAATGTCGAGTTATGATGTTAAAAAACTTTAGCTAGTAACAACATAGTGGTGTTTTTTTGTTACTATGTGCAAAAAAGTTTATTTGTGAACGTTGGAAATGTATGGTAGCTTTGAACTTAAAACGCAAAGGTTTACCCAAGGACAATCGAAAAACCCAATGTAACTACATTTAAAGGAAGTAATTCTTTGAATTTTCGGCAATAACTAAATCTTTAATTGTTGTAAAGTTTGAATGTGAGCTTCTGTTTTCATAGAACGCAAGCGCCGAAACAATTACAAGTAGTTCTTTTAATATGAATGTCGTTAAGGTTCATTGGTAAAACCGATGAAGTTAGATCCCAGTCTGGGGAGATATTAGTTTAGAATTTCTAATTGAAATTCTTTTTTTTTTTTTAATTAGTATATTGTTCATGTATTATTGTAATAATATGTTATTGAGATGTATCTAAGTAAAGCAAGGGAATGTTATCTTTTTTTGTTAATGAAAATTATTATTAAAGTAGGTTAGTTGTTAATAGATATATCAGTCAAGTTGGTTATCTGTGATGTTGTATTGTTCTTGGTATCTGATTTAAGTAAGAAGTGGTATATATCGCTTAGATTCTTAATGTCACTCTTAACATTGATGGAAAAATCGTTAAGGAAAATATAAGTCATTTCAATGAACTCTCTTTTAGATTTATTGCTCTATATATATTATATTCCATCAATGTTAAGAGTGACATTAAGAATCTAAGCGATATATACCACTTCTTACTTAAATCAGATACCAAGAACAATACAACATCACAGATAACCAACTTGACTGATATATCTATTAACAACTAACCTACTTTAATAATAATTTTCATTAACAAAAAAAGATAACATTCCCTTGCTTTACTTAGATACATCTCAATAAGATATTATTACAATAATACATGAACAATATACTAATTAAAAAAAAAAAAAAAGAATTTCAATTAGAAATTCTAAACTAATATCTCCCCAGACTGGGATCTAACTTTATCGGTTTTACCAATGAACCTTAACGACATTCATATTAAAAGAATTACTTGTAATTGTTTCGGCGCTTGCGTTCTATGAAAACAGAAGCTCACATTCAAACTTTACAAAAATTAAAAATTTAGTTATTGCCGACAATTCAAAGAATTACTTCCTTTAAATGTAGTTACATTGGGTTTTTCGATTGTCCTTGGGTAAACCTTTGCGTTTTAAGTTCAAAGCTACCATACATTTCCAACATTCACAAATAAACTTTTTTGCACACAGTAACAAAAAAACACCACTATGTTGTTACTAGCTAAAGTTTTTTAACATCATAACTCGACATTTCTAAAATTTCACGGTAAGGTAAATGTTTTTTTATTAGATAATATATGGTAGCTAATTATAATTTATTCTCTTTCAGCCCTGAAGAAGCCAAATTCTCTTTGGCGAAAACGTTAGGTGAAATAATTGATACACATTAGAGTTTTTTTTTGCAGATTTCCCCAATATTTAAGAGTTTACTATTTAACTTATATATATATATATATATATATATATATATATATATATATATATATATATATATTACAAAGAATCCAACATGTAAATACAATAGGTGTCCAAACCATTTTAAACTTCTTCTTTCTATTTTGTCAATGTCTGTTTCTGTAGCATTCATGTTATTTCTGATAGATTCGTTGGTCTTCCTTTCCAGGTACTCCGGGTACTCTTAATTTGTTGGCAGCATTGATGGATTAGGAAATGTATTCATTCTATTAGGAGTGGACTTCCTGCAGGAGGAGCAGGAGGTTCAGTCAGGAGTTCAGGTGTTCAGGATCAGGGTTCAGGAGATCAGGTGTACGTTATTTAAAACGTATTTATGTGGCAGACTGTAACTACTGTTTTTGTATTTTACTAAATTGAAGATATTTTACTATAGGGCCAGTCCTGCAATTATCTTTGAATTTCGTATTTCCAGAAAAACAAGACACTTTCAACTACTAATTAATTATGGTAATTATGGAAGTATTGAACCCATACAGAAATATTTTTAAAACTTTACAGGGAAGCTCATGACTGTCTTACCACTAAGTCAGTTGGCAATCAGGCTCTGTCAGGAAGGTAACTCCAATCTTTGCTATATCTCTTTTGATATTTGTCTTAGCAGTAGACGAAACGCCAAGAAAAAATATTTCCAGACGACGCTTATAAGTATGGAATGTTTCATTACAATTATTGACTATATTTCTATAAATTTTTAATATCAGAATTAGTTTCTCAGAACTACTAACTCCCAATGAATAAACTTAATTGTTTTTTCCTTTAATTTTATGATCGTCATTAACGCAGTATTGATTAAAAAAATTTTCGTGTCCAACAATCAATTTATCTAGTATAATTAAAACTGACTCTAAAGTAATACTTTCCTGGTAAAAACCGCATTTCAATTAAACAAATTGATTAACAGTTTTTTGGCAAACTACCCACCATGCAGACAAACTATCTGGTAATCTGTACCACTTTTTTAAGTGGTATTTAGGTCGTTAGCTTTCCCGCGATAATATTGATTGCAGCCGCTATGTGAGAAGGTTCATACAATTTATAATGAACTCCAATTCACCCCTAAT